CTTGTGTTGGTTGGTTGATGGGTATTCATTCGATCCACAAAAGATATTTCCCATCTTTCCATTGTGTTCATTAACTACTATCCCATAGCATTTACTAGACCTTCCCATAGATTTATTAGCTAAGTAGATGGAACAGTGGATGGTCCAATAGCATGGCCTCATCCAATACTTTGAACATGTGGTACCTATTCCGATGTGCTGGTCTGTTCGACCATGGGCTCTGACAAGACATGTATTGCCACAGGATGTGTTATCACATTATCCTCTGGATTGGGTATCTCTACCTCTTCTTCTACACCTTCTTCCAGGAGCTCAATTTCTTCTTGTCTCCTACGTCTAGCCATTTCAATTAGTCCCACTGGGTGTACTAAAAATTTATGTTGGCTTTTTGGCTTTCGAAGGTTATTATAGTAATTTTGAGTGTGCCAGCAAGGATCAATCAGTCCTTATGGAAATTTAATTGCCAACCAATTATCAAACGATTGTGTTTTAGTTCTTTCGACCTCAATGAAGAGGACTTTTACTGGTGGCTTTGTTTTAGGAGAATCAAACTAATAACAATTAAACGAAGAACAATTATAGCATTTCATTAAGTAAAATGAAAGACTTACAATGATCCAATTCAGCCTCGTAGAGGTTTACAGCAACAATCTACTTGAAACTACTCCTATGAACGAAGTGTAGTATAAGAATTTGAAGTACAGAAATGTAAAGAACAAGAAATGTAAAAACTGGAAGGAAAAATAAAAAAGATAAAACAATATTTGGATTTGAGTTTGTGTCTTCATTCTGAAACCTTCTCTGCTATTTATACTATCTTGTTGTAACCGTCGAAATGAGCATCTGACCGTCGAATCACTCTTCCATGATTGTTATTCATGTTTCCTCACAGTTAGCTCCACTACGCCATATCTACAATTAGGCTTCCCTCTTAATTTTGAATTAAAATGTACGAGCAACCATTAAAGCCACGTCATCTTGAATTCCTTTGCTAATCCAGTGCTATGCAGATCCATGACAACCAATACTAACTGCCACGTATGTGATTATGATTGAAGACTTAATTAGTCTTCCCGAATTGTCCTTATTTTGCCACGTGTAGAACTGTGATTGGCCTGTACAAAATATATAGCCAACCGTTTTTGTGGAGTAGATTGGAGTTTTAAAGTAATGAAAAAGATGAAGATAAAACTCGAAGAAGATGGAGAGAGTTGAATATGATGAATACTTATAAATGGTTTGGCAATGGCGGAGATTTTGGCTCAGAAGGGACACTTTTGAATTAAAATCTTAATAAAAATCATAATTTAACTTAATTTTTATATGATGATAGGACTACAAATTAGTGCGATGCAAAAGTTATATTTAAATGTAAGGTCAAGTTAACTAATCATTATCTTTATTGCTATTAATTTATTTTATATATGATGATCATCACGGTTTAAAAAATAATTACATATACTCTCATAAAATATGAGAACAAAATTATATTAAGATACACACATAAAGAAATATAGAATAGAGAAAGAAATGAGAAAAAGATAAATAAATAATATACAGAGGCTATTATATATTGCTTGTTTTTTTCACCATTTTGAATAATTGAATTACATGGCAATATATTATTAGTTGTCATTAATTGTGTAATAATTATGTGTCGTATAAGAGGTGATATAAAACAGTGACAAAATATCAATGATGTATAACATTTCTCTACTATAAAATTTATAAGAATTTTTTTTAGCATAATTAAACATTTAAAGTGATAAATTAAACATTTTTTTATTAAAAAAAAGTATAGAAAATAGTGATATAAAAATTTCAAGATATTACTTGGATTAAATTGAAATATATTTTTTTATTGGATGCAAAAGAATAATTTTTCAAAAGTTGAGGGGGGCACGTGACCCCTCTGGGCCTCACGTGCCTCCACCCCTGGTTGTACCATGAGGAAAAAATTAATATTTTATTTTAAGATTTAATGTATATTGTCTAGTAAATTTACATTAGATTATAATAAAAATTAAAATTTTAGAATTTTAATTGATCGTACTAAGTTATTATTTAGCTACAAATAGAATCACCACACAAAGCCATGGACCAAAACTTGTTTTTATTTATTTTACAACCAAGTGCCCAAGCCAACTTTCACACCTCGACTAATTAACAACTAGATAAACCTCCAGTGATTCCAAAATTTAGAATGTTTGACCTTTATGAGATCCGATCCTACGACTTCTTGGATGATAAATCTTTTGGTTACCCCTCATCCCCTACTAAAACCAAACCTAGTGGGGTTATGGGCCAAAACCTAGGTTTCATTTGGAATGTTGGTTTGCTTTTTTGATTTTTTGACTTTTTAATTATTTTAGTCTGGGTTAAAAAGTCTCGTTTAAGATAAATTTTTTGATTTTTTTGACTTTTGTAAGAGAAAAAATAAAATAATTATAATTTAAATGTGACATTTTATCTTATTAAGTTAAAAAAATTATTTATTTTTATAATTATTTTAGTCAAAAAAATCTAAAAACCTTATACGCCAAACGAAGGCTTAATTGTGAGGTTACTTAAATAATTTTAAAAAGGTTTGTAAGTATGGGATTTTGTTTTTTAACATCTAGCAGTCAAAACATGTAAAAACATCTCTTTAATTTCTTTTCTTTTTTTTTTGTGTGGCAAATTATATTAAATCCTCTCAAACCACATACACTTTATTCTTCTAAGATTTTAAACCTAACAATTACCCCCCTCAAACTGTTTAAATTTGAGCATTAAATCCTTCTGTTAGTTATCTGTTATATAACTAGATGAAAAATTGTCAAGTATTGTATACATAATAATTATATTAAATTTTATGACCAAATTATCCTATTTTATTTTTTGTAAAAATTTACTATAATTATCATGTGCATAGAACTTGATAATTTTTTATTTAAATATTTAATAGAATAATTTAATATTCAAATTCAAATAATTTAAGGAGGATAATTATTAAGTTTAAAATATTAGAGAGATAAAGACCCTGTAAAAACAGCACAAGGATCTAATACTGTTTAAAAAATTTGGAGAACATGGTGAACTTGTACTATCAGACCAATAATAAAAACATTGAAATGGACAAGGGCAAAGGACCCTCTATTTCACCTTGAAGACAATGACAGCTAAACTACACTTTAGAAATGAATCATAGAGGGAAATCTCATCTTTTTTTTTTTTTTTTTACTTTTTTTCTGTTTTTAAGGAAAGGGAAATCTTATCTTGTGCACCCTAAAGGGTCCATATTATATGCATTCTACTATAAACATTATAATTTTATCACAAAATTTAATAATATTAATCATAAAATATGTAATTTTATAATAAATTAACATAACAAAATATCTAAAATTTTATAATTAATATCGTAAAAGTTTATAGTTTTGTTATAACATTTTTTGTTACATCAATTTGTGACGAAATTACATATTTTATGATTAATATTATAAAATTTTATAATAAAATTACACATTTTATAATACAATGCATTCCATAACATTTTCCACACATATATATATATATATATGTATGAGTTTCAGCTAAACTACACTTCTCACTAAGAAATGATATACATATGTATGGGAGTTTCTTAGAGTTCATCATTTAATACTTTCTAAAACTTCATTTCATGGGCTTCACATAACCAATAAGCAATGAAAGTAACTCAAATCATTCATCGCGTAAGTCCTTACAGAAAATAATATATATACAAAAAATTAACTTAATTTGATATAAATAAGTATATTAACTTATCATATTTTGTTTTACAAAATGAATAATTTCAATTTAAAATTTTATTTATCATTCATTTCACAAAACAAAGCACGATTAGACCATCTCCAACGGTGAATTAAAATTGGCATCAGATTTAAATTTTGATGAAAAAGGCACTTTTTTATCCTCCAACCGTTGCACCAAATTGATATCAAAATGAGAATTCAGCAAAAAAAAATCAAACTGAGAACAAGATATACATTTTACCAAATCACTGTTACTGACCGTACTGAGAACAAGATATACATTTTACCAAATCACTGTTACTGACCGTTGGAGCAGAAAAGGTTCAGAATGTTACACATGGTGGTCGACCACCTGGATGTCTACTTGGTCGACCCCTTGGTCGACCACCCAGTTAACCAACCGGTCGACTAGTGTATGAAAAATTGTTTAACAAGGCGAAGGTTGGTTCAAACAGTTCAAAAAAGTAAGAAACAGTTCAAAAAGGTAAAAAAAAATAAAAATTGGCTTTACCAGTCGACCAACCGGTTGACCCACGGAGGTAGGTTCAAACAGTTCAAAAAGGTTAAAAAAAAAAAAAAAAAAAAAATTCCCCCTACCCGGTCGACGTGCCTGGCGACCATCTTTAAAGAGATTTGATGAAGGTGAACCGTTGGAGCATTCAGTATCAGATTGAGGAAATAGTCATCTTTTTACTCAGATTTGGTGAAACATTAGGTGAACCGTTAGAGATGCTCTTAGTATATTTATGAATATTTGATCAGGCTAATTTTTTACATATATCTATCAATATATATTATCCATTTCACAAAACAAAACATAATTAGTTAATATATCTATTGTCATTCAAAAAAAAAAAAAATTTAATATATCTATCAATATCAAATCAAGTTAAATTTTTACATATATGTTTTTCTCTTCGAGACATTCTGTGAGATGAAGAGTTCATATCACCGTCATAAATCACGTGAAACCCACAAAAGAGGGTCTTCAGAGAGTATGGAAAGAATGTTGTCTTGAGAAGAGCTACTCCATATGCAAAATAGAAGTTATCAAAAGATAAATTATTTTGCATCACAAAATCTAACCCAACGAGAAGCTATCACCTAATAGTTGGATCAGGGGTTTGATGGTTATATCAATGATTAATAGCTCAGGAATTCACAATCATCAGGAATCCAAATCCTTGTACTCAAATTTTCCACATCCATGATTGAAACATTGCATAGAAGAGTAAATGCAAGTTGAGCAAATGAGAATATAAAACTGGATATAACAACATTGAAGAAAGACCCATAGAGCAAATTAAATAGATAAAACAAAAACAAATGTGAAATTCAAACAGACAATGATTAACAATGACCTGAAATCTACCCAACCTTGCTCAGTAGTCTCTCTCCTTAACTGCCACAAACATTCCGAATAACTTTGAAGAGAAAAAAACTAGTAATTTTCAGACTCCCCTTAGTAGAAACAGCAGTTGACAAATCATCACATAACATAGCGCAGCAGAGCATGGAGCATTCGCATTCTTTTTTAAGTCCTCAAGTGTTTTCACATGTCCTCCATACCTTCTTCCTCCTCGTCATCATATTCGCCCTCCTCATCAGCAGTAGCATCCTGGTACTGCTGGTACTCCGACACTAGATCATTCATGTTGCTCTCGGCTTCCGTGAACTCCATTTCATCCATACCTTCCCCAGTATACCAATGCAAGAAAGCCTTCCTCCTGAACATAGCAGTGAACTGCTCACTCACTCTCCTGAACATTTCCTGAATGGAGGTTGAATTCCCAATAAAGGTCGATGCCATGGAAAGTCCCCTAGGTGGAATGTCACAGACGCTCGATTTCACATTGTTAGGGATCCACTCCACAAAGTAAGAAGAGTTCTTGTTTTGAACGTTGATCATTTGTTCATCCACTTCCTTGGTGCTCATTTTACCCCTGAACATGGCTGAAGCAGTGAGGTAGCGGCCATGTCGTGGGTCAGCAGCACACATCATGTTCTTTGCATCCCACATTTGTTGGGTCAGTTCAGGGACAGTAAGGGCTCGGTATTGCTGGGACCCACGTGAAGTCAGCGGAGCAAAACCCACCATGAAGAAGTGTAGACGGGGAAAAGGGATAAGGTTTACAGCAAGCTTTCGGAGATCAGAATTGAGTTGACCAGGGAATCGAAGGCAGCAAGTGACACCACTCATGGTTGCAGATATCAAGTGGTTCAGATCGCCAACTACAAATAGTTGCAATAAAGAGATATCAGCAAGGGTACACTGAATTACTAAGTAGGAATAACATGGAGCATTGAACAAGCAAATGACTTTCTAGCAGGAGTAGGTATTTTTGCTGATTAAATATATTTAAGAATTGTGAGGAGCAACTTACAACTTACAACCAACAATAACTAACAGTAATTTCCCATATGGTTATGTCATGTACATTTCTACAAGCAAGTATTGTTGTCCATATGCTAGAGTGTCAACTTGATCCCAAAAAATGAAAGGAAAATAAATAAATAAACAAAAATAATAATGAAAAAAAAAAGACAGGAGAAACAGTAACCAACAATATACATTAGCAAAGTGTAATATATTATCATTGAGGTTTTAAACTAGAGGATTAACCAACAAAAAAAATTGCCAAAGCTATACAACTGTAGGTTTCATCACCTCATCAGTTAGCCAAATGTGTACAATAATTCATTGAACACAATGTGAATCCCACACACCCTGTTGTGGGATATGCTTGACAACTCAAAAGTCAGTGCAAGCAACAATCATAAATACTTGGGACATAGATCAGCCATAGATCAACTACCCACAACCAGATTGCATCAATTTCACAACAAAGGCCAAGGGACCAAAGGTAATGTACGAGAATTCATAAAAGATGGTGAATTAAAGGGCAGCTTGGGCCCACAGCACATGATGGCTTGCAACTACCAAATCAGTAGACTAAAACACTAGATAGAAGTTTGGTGCAAAGGAAGGAACAAGCTAGAAAACAAATAAATAATAGATTATTCAAGGAATAATTTGAGCATGAAAAAAAACTCCCAATTTATTAGTTAGTGAGTTGATTGATAACTTGATATAGCACAGCATTGGCAGTATCAATCTATCGAAAATATCAGACCTATATCACAAGTTCATTCACAACAATGAGATATTTATCAACAAAGTTCTCTTGACAAGTATTTATGAAAAAAAGAAAACTAATAATAACAGGAAGAGAGAGAGAGAGCAGAGATTTAAGAATTTTAGCTATATAAATCAAGTAAATCAACAAACAAAATTCAGAAATATGCAACAAACATAGAAGATTGTAATGTATACTCACAGCTAGGAGTGGTAAGCTTAAGAGTCCTGAAACAGATATCATATAGAGCTTCATTATCAAGCACCATGCACTCATCTGCATTCTCAACAAGCTGGTGGACAGAAAGGGTAGCATTGTATGGCTCAACAACAGTATCTGAAACCTTTGGCGATGGGAACACAGAGAATGTGAGCATCATCCTGTCAGGGTACTCCTCCCTAATTTTTGAAATTAACAAGGTACCCATCCCAGAACCTGTTCCTCCACCCAGGGAATGGCAGACTTGAAAACCTACAGAAAGACAAATAAAATTGCACCATAAGGTACCTACTACCAGAAAACTAGTCTGAACAACTGAAATTTAAAAAAATCTAACTGCTTAATCTTTTTTTTTATCTTCCAGAGAACTCTGGTGTGAATCAATTTATTGAAGAATGTAACATTAAAAGATATCCTGAAAGATAAGAAAAACCTTTCAAAATATGCTTGACAAAAGAGAAACCTCAAAAAGTCATGTAATTGTACCTTGAAGACAGTCACAGTTCTCGGCCTCCTTCCTCACAACATCAAGAACTGAATCAATAAGTTCTGCACCCTCAGTGTAATGTCCTTTGGCCCAGTTATTTCCAGCACCAGACTGACCGAAAACAAAGTTATCAGGGCGGAAGATCTGGCCATACGGACCAGTGCGAACACTGTCCATGGTGCCCGGCTCAAGATCCATGAGCACAGCACGAGGAACAAACCTCCCACAAGAAGCCTCATTGTAGTAGACATTGACACGTTCGAGCTGCAAATCTGAAGTTCCAACATATCTTCCAGTAGGATCTATGCCATGTTCATCACAAACAACTTCCCAAAATTTTGATCCGATCTGATTTCCGCACTGTCCACCTTGAATGTGAAGAATCTCTCTCATTTTGCCTGAAAATTCAAGAAAGATAATGAACTCAATTCACCAACACAAAATGGACAAGCACCAAACAATTTCTTATAGACTTCGGACAACTTAGAAATGCTTTCAAGAGAATTCAGAATGAACCATAATGAATTCAAAACGGAACAATGTAGATAATAGAAAACTTCAGTTAAATGAACATAAGTAATTCAAATAAAAAGATCTATACTCAGTTTAAAATTGAATTCAAATCCACAATAGATCTTGCAATTCAATGAATCTAACTCTAAAAAAACAATTCAAAGTTATTCAATAATACCAACGCTCCACAAGAGACCAAGAGTGTACAGTTTACCCACATCCACCAAAAATGTAGAGATTGCACAGAAAAAAGATCACTCATAACGATTGTTATTTAAATTAAAATTCAAAAAGCAGATAGGAAAATTCATGCAATACAATCCAAAATTTCACTAAAAATTCCAAAATCTTGAAAAAATTTCCAACAAAATACATAAAAAGTGACTAAATTATCCCAAGATCTTCAACAGATCTAGCAGCAAAATGAACTCAAAACAAATATACAACGCAATGTAATAGACAATTCAAAAATTCGAGTATCTGCAGAAAGATCTCGCACCATAACTCACTATAATTGTATAAAATGTATGCACACAACGAATGAGATTCAGTACAAAGTTTGAAGATCTAGTGTCGATTTATGGATATATCCGTATGCAGAAATGCACTTGAAAATTTAACTATCTCAACAGATCTTTGGCTATGACACTCAGGTGAATAATATAATTTGAACAGTTTGGTTTGTGCAATCCACAGATCAAATTGCAGATATAAAGATCTAAAATCGCACATATGCATATATACAGAAATTGAATCTGAAAACGAACAAATTCAACAAAAACTATAGAAATCTTGAAGATCTACGAGAGATCTGTAAATACAGACTAGATAATTACCTGCAAGAGAGACGAAGACGAAGAGGAAATTTGAGAAATTTGAAGATCGATCGAGAGAAATGTGACTCGATCGAGAGAGAGAGAGAATGTGTCTGGGGAAGAGATTGAACCCTAGTGAGGTTTATATCTGCGAGTGAAGAACTGAAGGGTGAGATCCAACGGCTGGTGTTGTTTCCCTCCTATTTCATTTAGAACCGTTGGATGCCGTTGGATGTTCGAAATGAACGGTTTGGATTGGATCATTAGAAGTGTTTGGTGAGATTTGATATTTTTTAAATAAACAAAGTTGAGTGACAAATATACCCTTACTTATAATTTGTTAGGGAAGAACTTTTTTTTAATTTGATTTTTTTACTATTTAAGCCTAGTTTAAAAGTTTTGTTTGAAAAGAATTTTTGACTTTTTGTAGTTTTGTGAGAGAAAAATTAAAATGATTATAATTTAGATGTGGCATTTTATCTTTTAAAGTCTTTACTGTATTGTTTTTTAATAAACTAAATTAATCTGAACTCACTTACCAAACGAAGACTTAAATGGCTGGAATGTCCTTTGACTATGGCCTTTGAAAGTCTATGCACACTCTCTTTTTTCCTAATATTTTAAAAACAACAAGATTACAAATTCATAATTATCTACTTAGAATTTATTTAGAAATAAGAATTAACAATTTAAATTTATTTCACTCCTAAATCCAACACTTTATAAATTTAATCTGTACCACACATACACATTCTAGATAAATTCTAGCATGGTAAGTCTCGAACCATAGCTTTTTTGTTTTAAAAAACACTATCTCAATTAGGATGGTGGATTTCATGGAATTCACGAAATAAAATCTTGAGAGAGTATAGAGAAGAGGTAGTCTTAAGAAGAGTTATTCCTTAACTAAAAACCACATAAAGTATTTAAAAAAAATTGAATTATAATTAAAATAATATCATAATTGATATCACAATACGGTTCTGCTGCGTAGCTTGAATTTTTCGAGCTCGAAATCAGCCCGAATTCAAAACGACGTTGTTTTGAATTTTTTCTTTTTCTTTTTTTTTCTGGCTGAAGAAGAACGAAGAAGAAGAAGAATAAGAAAAGGAGAGGAGCAGAGCAGAGCAGAGCAGAGCAGAGCAGAGAGAAAAAGAGATCATCGCCATCATCAACCAAAAATCAAACCCACCCCAACAATCATTAACAATTTTTTTTTTCTTTAATCATCAACAACAACCAACAATCACACACACAAAAAAAAAAAAAAAAAAAAAAATCAAAATCAAGGGGACGGTTCTGTGTGTATACACAGATCATTAACAAATTTTTTTTTTTCCCTTTAATCATCAACAACAACCAACGATCACACACACACACAAAAAAAATCAAAATCAAGGAGACGGTTCTGTGTGTATACAGATCGAATTTTTTGTTTCTTTTCCTTTTCTCTCTGAAACAGAGAAGGGAGAGAAGAAAGAGAGAGGGCGTCGATCAACAGGGACGATGGCAGCGACGATTGGCGGCGGTGATCGGCGGCCGAGCCTCTCTCTCTCATCGCCATCAACATCTTCCTCTCTTCTTCTTTCTCTATTTCTCTTTTTCTCTTTCTCTTTCTCTCCCTCTCCCTCTCCCTCTCCCTCTTCCTCTTCCTCTCTGTGTTTCAGACATAAAAAAAAAAAAAGGAAACGGCCCAAAATGACGTCGTTTTGGGCAGCCTGGGGATTCAAGGAAAAAAAATTTGGGGGGAAAATCATTACAATTAAAGTTATAACTAAATTACAATTAAATCATAATTAACACTACACAAACACACAAAAGTATCATAAAATTTTCCATTTTAAAAACTTTCAACTCTAAATTTGTAATTTTAGAAGACAAGTTCAAGAAACAATAATATGATTTGGTAAATAGATTAAAAACAACCTGTCACTAAAAAATAATAATACAAACCAGTAGCATTTGTAAATAACTCAAATTTATATTTTGAGGTTGATCAAAATTTAACAAATAATTTTAAGAATATAGAAATCGATTAGAAAACTAAAAACCTATATAAAATCAAGATCTCTATGACCCCCAAAAGAAGAATTATAAATTTATCCAAAAAGAAGAATTATAAATTTATCTATAATTTTACATTTAGATTTAATTTTCTTATTGTAGAATCAATTCATAAATAAATCTTGGCATTAGATTTTATATTCTATATAATTTTTTGGTCTTTTTCTAAGTGTGTAGACTTGTTGTTTTAAAATTGGATCCAACTAACAAATTCAACAAAAAAAAAAAAATTCAAATAAGTGTGATAGTGAAAAAAAAATAAAAATCATTTTTTGGTCTTTTTACTGAATCTTTTTAAGATTTTAAGAAGTTTTTTAATTTTTAGACACATAATTTTCGTGAATTTTTTTAAAAAAAATTCACTAAATATCAAAAATACAAAAAAAAAACTAAAATTCAATATATTTTTTTGTATTTTTGTATATTTATTAATTTTTTAAAATATTTTTTTACAAAGATGCTACTTTTTAGATATATCTAAGTAAGGTACATCTAAAAAAGTAAAAAAAATGCTTACATTTTTAAAAATATTTAATAAACACAAAAAATAAAAAACTTAATTTTCAAAAAATTGAATTCAAAAAAATGAAGCCAAACATACTGATTATTCTTCCACTCGCCAAGAGAAATTTAATTAACCAAAAGGGATCAACTTGTCTCTAGCTCACAAAGTGAACTAGACACTATTGTTCGGGCCCGTAGGGTTCATCACGGATCTCATTTTAACAATTTAAATTATTCATTTTTTAGACCACAATGTGTAAATTATTCATAAAAAAATTAAATCAATCCAGTACTGTAACCAGTTTAATTTATTATATTTGTTTCTTAAAAAATGAATGGCCTAATTTTCAAATAATATTTGTCATTCATTTTTTTTCAAATAAACGTCATAAAATAATATAGCTATGGTTATCGGATCGATCCAATTTTTTTTACGGATAATTTACATGTTGTGGTCTAAAAAATGAACGGTTTGCAATATCAAAATGGGACCTGTTGTGGCCTTATGGTGCCTAACCAAAAAAATGTATCAATTTTGAGTAAATTACACTTTGCCATTTCTATGTTTGACTAATTTTCCACTTTGACCCTTAAAGTATAATTTTTTTCTCACGTTGGCCCTTAAAGTATATTTTTTCCCACTTTAGCCATTCATGTTTCAAATTTTTCCCAGTTTACACCTAAAACCAATTTCTGTTCAAAATTAAACATAAAATATCATGATAATTGTTACATAACATAAAAAATATATTATATAGTATTTGAGTTTATGTTAGAAGTGTGAATTATATATAATGAAATATTTTTATACTATGTGATTGTTAATGTGTTATTTTTTGTCTAATTTTGAATAGATATTCGTTTTAGGAGTAAACTGAAAAAAACTTGAAACATGAACAGTCAAAGTGAGAAAAATAAACTTTAAGAGTCAAAGTGAAAAACTGATCAAACACAAAGGGGAAATAGTGTAATTTACCCATCAATTTATGTGTCTTTTGTAGAGTGGTTCTAAATGCACCCCAATAATTTGGTTGAGCATCTCATTGCTTTAGACACCCCAATCAAAAAATTGAAAAATTACCTTTTTTTTTTTGGGTTGAACAACCATTTAATACCAAATTTACCCCTATCCACTTGCCACTTGAACAACCTCTAATGCCAGAGCCATTTTCCAACACTACATCTGCAATTTCTATTTATTTATTTATTTATTTTTATGTATCTTCTGCAACGCTAGAGCTATTCCAACGACAACCCCTCTACAATGTCGTCACTCCCTTCAACGGCAACCTTCTCCACCAACGAACTCCTTTGTTGTCACCCCTCTTTTTTTTCCTTTTCCTCTCAAACTCTAAATCTAGGGTTTGGTTCGAACCCAAACACTAACCTAACCCTAGATCTAGGGTTTACAGTGGAAGAGAAACGAAGAGAAAATGATTTAGGACGAAGAGAAAGGTTGGGTCAAGTCATCGTTCAATGGGAGATTCATGGCTGGAGGAGATGGTGATGCAATGCGAGAGAGAAAAAGGTAGCGATGGCGATTGTTGGAGGAGAAGGAGGTGGCGAATGGCGATTATTGGAGGAGTAAAAAGTGGTGATGATGATAGTGGAAAGAGAAGGATGTAGTAGCTTCAATAGTGGGAGGTGGAACTGACAATGGCGACGATGGAAGGAGTGGCGGTGGCAACATCGACGATTGGAGGAGAAGGAGGTGGCGAATGGCGATTACTGGAGAAGTAAAAAGTGGTAATGATGATAGTGGAAAGAGAAGGATGTAATAGCTTCAATAGTGGGAGGTGGAACTGACAATGGTGACGATGGAAGGAGTGGCGGTGGCAGCATTGACGATTGGAATAATTTGATCGAAATTGGTTTGGTTTGGCCAAAGTTAAGTGTTGATGGCTGGAGTGAAGGTTTATTTTCAATTATTTTGATTAAGGTTAAAATTGTATTAATATTTTTTTAGAGGAATAGGGTACTCAACCAATTATTTAGATGCATTTAGAGTCATTCATCTTTTGTAATCAATTTTTTTTTTTTTTTCGATTGGATGTCTTTTGTACTCATTTATGTATTTAATTCTGTGTGGGATATTTGGAATTATATTATTTTAATAATTTTTTTTAATTTTTTATAAAAAAAATATATAAAATATAGGTAAAAATTATTTATAAGTCCTATTAGGGAGACTAATGCTACATATGGTCCTACTAAAAAACTTTTATTCCCATAAGTCTTATGGGAAGTTTGTTGACATATTTACCCTCAATATTAGTTGTTAATATCATAAATATTAGTAAAACCATATATAGGAAATTGAATGTTACCATAGATCATATCTATATAAACGTAACGTCACGTGACACCTACATAAACGTAACGTGACACCTATATAAACGTAACGTGACGCCTATACGTAACGTGACACCTACATAAATGTAACGTGACACCTATATAAACGTAACGTGACGCCTATACGTAACGTGACACCTACATAAACGTAACGTGACACCTATGATCTATGGTAACATGCAATGTTACCATAGATCATATCTACATAAACGTAACGTAACGTGATACTTACATAAATGTAACGTGACACCTATG